GGGGGGGGGGGAGGGAGGGGATAACGCTATCTTCTTTTTCTTTTTGTGTTTTGAGATGCAATGAGGGGTCTTTCAACACAGGCAATAAAAATATCCGCTGTCTTCATCCGGCCTTTTGATGTTGCTAGCTAGAGCCAGGAAACTGCCGAAGAAAAGGTCTGTTTCCGGGCTTTCTCTAGCATCTTACGCAAGCTATGACTGAATGTCTGTGCTTTAAAACCACTTGTCTTGCTAGTTGCTTGCTCATTTGCAAAGAAAATAATCAGAACGTATACGGACGGCACATTCCCACACGCCCACACTCACACACTCTGGGACTAAACAAATACAGCGCTCACTTCCAACTGTTTATTCGTTTGTTCATTTCACGAATGCTTTGAAGGTCTGAGCGCTTGCGAGGAACCTAATCAGAACGCATGTGATACCTTTCATATTTAGCGCTGGCATATTTTCGTTTGTTAAAAACCAGCTGGTTGCCTTTGGATATTGTTATGTCTAACAAAGAAAGTAGCTCCCCTAAAAAATATATTTCTTTCCTGGTTCTTGAGGGCATTTAAGGCAGCATACTTTGATGGCAGAGAAGCAAGTTCTGAAAACAACTACACGTGATCATAAGCCGGATAAAATGTGGATGTCAGTCAGATTTACTCATCGAGTCTATTTTGCCCTTAAAGCTCATTCAGAATAAACCTCAAGAAACTTTTCATCCACCGGATCCACCGATAAAATCTTTCCTAACTTTATTCACTTGGAACTCAAATTCACCAAAATATTATCCACCCGGACTCACTCAAACTGAAACTCACGGCTCTATGTACCCGATCGGAGTCTCGGCTAGTCCGCACGAGTCGCCTCGAGAGTGAGTTTGCTGCCCTGCGCACGCGACTGCGTTTTCTTGAGCTCACTTTAAGCACGCAAAGGCTGAACCTAAGCACGACGGTGATCTTCAACGCTGAAATACCTAATATCAATGTGCGGCTTGTTTTTTTAATAACGTTATCGTTCAGTTCTGTCCTCAATACGAGAATTATTGCTGTCAAGGTGGTTAGGCTTGATACCTAACCGATGCTGGCCTTCACAGAGCATTTTTCCCTTCTCTCATCCTGTCCGCTAACCCTCGCAAGCGGAAAGAGGTTTTCTTTTTTGTTGTTGTTTTTGGAAGGGGGGGTGCATTGGCATTAATTGGGTGTTTCGCTTTTGAATTGTTTGTCAGATGCTACGCATGTCATGCATCATATACACTGCATATGGTTGTAAATAAAATACAATATGAATAAACTGTCAAAAGTTGACGTTCTCTTTATCATCTTTTCTTGTTATTGGTTTACAGTAGATGGCCATAGTTTTTACGGTCTACTCAGTTCACTGAGCTGTTCTTCATCACATATTTATTAGAAACGAGACATGGCTTAAGCTTCATGCTCTTAATTTTCCGGGGGCTTATCTATCAACGTTGAGGTAGGCATGTGCTGTGATTTTGCCAAATCAGCAAGCGCTGGAAATCACATTCAATAGAAACAACCCAGCTTTCAGCTCTTGGAGCATTTACGGTAAATAGCGAACGTATTACTGACTTCAACTTTCCTCTGGTATTCCAACCTTGAGAACTTGGTTTTCTGTACTTCTATAGCTTCCAGTGCAGCGACCTCTGTTACCATGTAGCTGTTTTGGACTTATGACGTCGCTAATGTCCTCGGAGAGCATTATTTCGATCAAGAGAACAATACTTTATGGGATTAAATACGCAATTTCAAGGCACCCTCGATAATCGAGGCATCAGGGTTCGCCTTGAATACTAGTTCCCGAGTCAACAAACCCGAGTTACCGCTACACCAAATAGATTACGTCACATATGTCTGTGACTTGCTTCCTCATACTTTTTTTATCATCACTATCATTGAACTACTGCCCACGTCAGCGGTAAACCTTTTCTTGAACATTTTCGGAACGCTAACTTTCACCGGGAGCTTTTTCTTTCACTCTGTCTTTGTCAGACGCAAAGTGATTCTTGCGAATTCATGACAATTTCGCGTGTTCATCTACAAATGTCCGAACGCAGGTGACGTATGCTACGGCTTCAAAATATACGTTCTCCACGCTGTACAGAGACGACACAGGATATACAAGTTATGTTGCGCTGTCTGGTAGAACGTGCGATGTACTTGCTTTTATAACCTATAGCTTTTACACCTCTAGGTGGGGGCCGAGAAATGTCGTTTCCTGTAAAAAACTGGCCTAGTCCGTTGATCTTGTTCGGCAACAGCTGAAGTTTCTCGATGAACGTTAATGAGTTAGAAAAAAAAGGGGATAAAACTTACAGCTCGCAAGGTAAGAGACTATATAAAGGACACCAATATTTTGTCCATTTCCGGGCTTGTTCGCAGATGGTGCCATCTTCCGCGAAATTATTAACCTTCCAATAGGTGAGTTAGGACGAGTGCACTGAGAATTACAAGTTACACCGCATGACGAGGCCGAACACCCAGCTTCTTCCGGCATTACGCTCCAGTGTTGCACCGGTGTCGTTCTTGTAAAGGACATAGAAATATAACGCATTTAGTCGTATAATATTAGGTGATCGAGTCATAAAATCTAGCAGAGTTTTTTTATTTATTTATACGTACGCTGCATGAAAAATGTCTGTAAGTGGTAAAGTGAGCCGGGTGATTGAATGTATTGCTCATTAATTAGAAAACATTAAAGCTGACAACGATATAATAAACAAGCAGCATAAAGTCATCGCATACAATAAAGGCACATGCGGTATTTTACGATGCAAACGAGACCACGGGTGAAAAATTGAAAAAAGCACGCATAGATTTCGAAAACATTAAAATATTGAGCACTGAATTTCCCATTCCGCAGTACTAACCTTTTCCGTTCTTAATAGTCCACCCACTGAGTGATTTATGGCCATAGCTTGTCCACGGTACATGGCGCATACAAGTAAAGGGCGGCTTCAATAGATGTGAGTGAGTGAAACAACTTCACGAACACTACAGTAGGCGCAAGTTACCTCAGTGCTACCTGGATAGGCCAACTCAAGGCCGCGCGAAGATGATCAGGTTTAATGGTAATCCACTGCCGAGACTGCGGCTGCGTGTCCCTCTTTAAGCGTTTCGAGGTACTGAACAAGCACCACTCGCAGGCCTCGCGTGAGATAATTTAAGCCTATCGCACAAGTATGTTTGATGGTATTCAAGTGTAAGTTCCTCATCAGATGCGCTTTCACAAAATAGATATTGCGATTCTTCGTCATTTTTATGCTGCGTATTTGTTTCCAGCTCAATTAACAAGAGACAACAGTTTGCCCCGCCGCAGCGGTCTAGTGGTTAAGGTATTCTGCTGCTGACCCGCAGGTCGCGGAATCGAATCCCGGCTGCGGCGGTTGCATTTCCGATGCAGGTGGAAATGCTGTAGGCCCGTGTAATTAGATTTGGGTGCCCGATAAAGAACCCCAGATGGACAAAATTTCGGGAGCCCTCCACTATACTTTGTCTGTAATAATTATATGTTGGTTTTGAGACGGTAAACCCCACATATAAATCAATCAAGAGGCGTGAGTTTTGCTGACATATTGTACCGCAGTGGTTCTACACATGCCCATTTTCTTCTTTTCTCGCCTATATATGTACACCACTTTACTATTGAATCATTGTTGAAACTCAGCGCTCTTTCCTATTTTTTGCTTTTTCGCTTTTGTAGTTACGCTGTAACTACTTTTAGTTTGCACTGTTCGTACTTTCAGTTAAGCTTTTAGTGTTTTTACTTGCAACGACATCAATGATGGTGGTTATAAATACACTTCTTCTTCTGCGTTGCAACTCTTGCCTCTCTATTTTAGCAGATCAAGCATGTTAAGCAATTGTCTCGTTATCGCTAAGAATTTTTTTTTCTTCCATAGGGGTTGTGTGTCGTTAAAATCACTCACACATGTCGCACTTAACTGTTATTATTGCTATTTCATGGAGTTGCCTTAGGTACATGTGCTTAGTGAAAATGTTTAACGATTTTGAGTACTTGGTATCGAACTATGGGAGAGCAGTAAGCCGTCCCTAAACTTTCTATATGTACATCTTGGTAGCCAATGGGGTGAATTCACATTTCTCAGCCGATATTTCAGCACAACCGCTAACCGCCGAGTCTTCACAAAGGCGGCACTGGTCCTTCATTACATCAAGAAATTCTTGACCCAATGTGTTGCTAGCCGATCCTCCTCTAAAAGTTATTTTTACTTATTACTTCACCTCAAGCAATACATCACTTCCACCGTTGACGTACTTCAATTCACTATACAGTTATTACAAGTTTCTGGCCCATGTGGTAAACGTTCACTATATATATACACTTTCATTTCCCAGAGCAGCAAGAGGCTACAACGGCCTTTTTTTAGCACCATTCTGATCAGATGCCTTACGATCTACATAGCAAGTGTAAACCAATCATCTTTAACGACTAATGTGTGTGGAAGTGCTTTCAAGAACCATCTGCTGAATCTCCACGGGAATTAAGATAAATGAAATATGAATAAAATATTTGAAGAACATTTTGTCACAGTGCTTAGGTAAGCGTGAAAATTTGTGACCTTAACTTATGAAACCAACAGACGATGAAGCTGAAAAATTTAAAGTTATAAGCCGTGTCTAACTAAAGAAAAACAAGCCCTCGATCAGTCCCCCATCTTACATTTATCTTTTTACGTTGTACCTTGCTCTACGAAACAGTACGCGCACAACGTTTCAGCAAATGTGAGCTGTGTGTATACGCTCTTTCATCATCAGCCTGAGCAGCTAAGCACTGCGGGGAAAGTTTTGCTATAAATTAAAAAATATAAACAACCAATCAAGCAGAGCATAATCTCGACCAGCGTATCTGTCGCGGCAGTGAACATGCAGTTGATACAACACTGAAAGCGTCTACAACAGAACGCGGGTTTCAGGAGATAAAGCCTTTATACAATATGCCGGGAATTTAACGACTGCAGAGTCTCTCCCACGCCGCTAACGCGTAGAGAAAAGATAGAGAAGGTAGATGAAGGCGCCGACAACGGTGAATATCAGCACAGCGGTGGCGGCAATGCAGAACGCCCAGTGGACCGCCAAGTCGTGCTGGTTGACTTCAACGTGGCGGCGTTTGTTCTCCTTGCGAGGAATATTGATGTTGATGGTGGGCTCTAAAAATTAAAAAAAAGGTTTAATTAGACACGAAAACCCGAGTGAGTTTATTCTAGTGATTGATAGATTGATATGTGGGGTTTAACGTCCCAAAACCACTATATGATTATGAGAGACGCCGTAGTGGAGGGCTCCGGAAATTTAGACCACCTGGGGTTCTTTAACGTGCACCCAAATCTGAGCACACGGGCCTACAACATTTCCGCCTCCATCGGAAATGCAGCCGCCGCAGCCGGGATTCGAACCCGCGCCCTGCGGGTCAGCAGCCGAGTACCTTAACCACTAGACCACCGCGGCGGGGCTTTATTCTAGTGCACGGCAAACCAGAAATGCTTACATGATAAAAATTATTTCACTTACCTCGCTTTACCTCGGGCATCGTCGGGAAGTGTTTAGCATTTTTCATTGCATATTCTTTTTCTTGTCTTCTCCTATCATCTGAAATCAAGTGCTGTACCCATTCGTTTCACCACCGATGGGTGTCTGGGGCTTTGTCAAGCTCTCATTAGAAAGCCTTTTTGTGGCTACGGTTTTTCACCGTAAATGGTCGTCTTGGTGTCGTCAAAACAAAGTTGATTGATTGAATGATCGATTGAGTGATCGTTTGCATGTAACACGGCCTCGGTTACTGCTAAGTTATTCAAGTATAGGGTGGGTTAGATAGGGGGTTATTTTTCATAATTACAACTAGGTGTTTACATCCCGAAACCACAATATGCTTACGAAGCACGTCATGTGTGCACGGCTTTTAGCGTTCCGCCTTCATAGAAATGACACCGCCACGGCTGGGGTCAAACCCGCAATCTTCGGATCAGTAGCCGACTGCCTTCACCGCGGATCTACTGTGGTGGGCAATTAGCTGTTATTTATTTATTAATAACTATACTCTTATTATTACTTACAAATATCCCACAACAACACCAATAATAATAATAATAATAATAATAATAATAATAATCACAGTAATTTACTTCGCATCACTGTGAATATTTTTGATGAAAGGTGTGAAACTAAAAGGGAGGAACGCCTGAGTGAGGTCTGACACCTAACAAACACTGAAATACTCAATTTTTTCTTCCTGGACGCATTGAAAAGTCAGCCCTCACGTTAAAATCACGGTCGCGTTACACTAGAGCAAATACAGGGTTATTTCACTGCTGGTAAGCATACTTTACGAGAGCTGATTAAACTGCAACCTATTTTTTAAGCCCTACTCACTGCCCAATGACCGATAATCTGCCCATTGTGGCCCAGTGCCATCTCTCAGCTCTTAGCTGCCCCTAGTATATGGCATCGGAAAGCATTAACACTACACAACAGAAAGGAGAAAGGAGATAGAAAAGAGTTATACCCATGTACAGCCACGGGCAGGTTTGTGTAGAGTGTGCGGGCAGCCGGTTTTTGCTGTGCGGCGCGACACCTAGAGGCAGTTTTGGGCTCGATCGTGGTCAGCCTGACTACTAGGCCGCGCATGCTCCTGACTCATCACATCAGAGCCAGAAGCTGCCTCAAAGTGTCGCCTCACAAAGCATTCAACTAGAAAGCCTACATGACCACCTCTTGTGATCATGTTGTCTCCCTACAAAAAAAAAACAAAAAAGCGGCTGCTCGCGTGATCTCATCTGACGTCTATTGTAAAGCTGGCTCTTTTTTATAACATACTAGAATGAACCATGTTGTCCCAAAAACATGCCAACTTTCTTTAAGCAGCACGGCGGAAGTGACGGGATCACGATGTGTTCATTAAGAGGCGTTTGCGCTGTTCATCCCTAAAACGTTGACTCCACCTTCGCGGTGATCGAAAGGGACGTGTTTATGTTGGTCAGTAGTCGCGGGAAATAAGCATATCTTATTTAATTAATAAACTAGGTTTGATGGTAAAACTTGAATCATAATTTGAATAGTCGCTTAGTGCAACGCTAACGCAGTCAAGGCTCCCCCGTTTTGAACGGAACTGGCTTTTTTTTTTATCTACTACTGACATCAAGCTTCGACCCAAGAAATTTCACTTACTGGGACCCGGTGGTATTCGAGCTGGTGTCGGAGCATTCCGCGATGGTCTCCGCGATGGAAAAGGATTGTAGAAAATTTGATAGATTGGACGGCCCGAGTTGTCACCGGCTTGCATTGGTGGCATGGGACCGTAGGCGTTGGGCATGTCCTGTTGAAACTGATAGGGGTATGGGTAAGGCATGCGCACCCACCCCAGCAGGTCCAACGTATGCAGCACCTCCAATCTCGTTCTGCTGATCCCTTGCGTCAATCGGCCCGAAGAATCCAGGAGGCGCTGTAGTGGTCTGCTCGGCCTGCGGCGCGTATATACTGCTCGCAGTAGCAGCCGTCGTCAGGCTCGGTCGGGCACTAGCACGTGCACCCAGAGGAGCCGGCCCGTCAAGCTGTGTAATTGACGCTTTCTTCTGCGGCGTTTTGCTCTTGTGGTGTTTTTTACTAACCGAAGGGCGGTTTTCAGGGGTGCCACTGGGCCCGCCTGGACGGCGCTGCGGGTGTGCCAGCTGGCAGCAGCTTGAATCCCACCCTGCTGAGCATTTGCCCCGACCTGACCCAAGTACCCAATGGCAGGACCAGTCGGGCCGACCTGGCCGTGCGGCAGCTCCGGCGGTCTGAATCTGTTGTCCGCCTGCGCCGACAGGTCCCACGTACATGGGTGTAGGAAAGGCGGTCCCGGGCGGTGGTGCATACATTCCACCTGCAACGGCTCCACCTTGGTTGAGCTCGCCACTGGACACGGTCGGCATGATGTACGCACCAGCAGGCACGCCTTGCCCGACTGGCTGTACAAACAAGCCAGCTGCGGCAGGTGCCGTCTCGTTCTGCTGAGCATTCGCTCCGTAAGGGCCAGGGTATCCAGTGGCTGATGCGCTGGGACCAACTGGCTGAGCATACAAGCCACCGGCAGGATCTGTCGTCGATATTTGCTGGGCATTCGCCCCATATGTGCCTGTGTATCCAGGGGCTGGTGCACCCGGCCCTACAGCCTGCAAGTACAAGCCGCCTGACGCTGGTGCCGGCTGTGTCTGCTGAGCAATCGCCCCGTACGTACCAGGGTATCCAGCGGCTGGAGCACCGGGCTGGCCTGGCTGAAGATATGTGTCACTTGCAGCAGCCCTCACCTCATTCGGTTGGGCCGTCCCCCCAGTAGTAGCATTCGATGGCCAATATCGACCGCCTGCAGTTGTCGAATGAATTGCTCGAAAGACATTGTCTTTTCTATCCTCCTTGGGTGCGCCGCTCTATGGTGGGTGGGGCCTCTTATTGTTTGCCTGCTTTGCTTGATCACTCTTCACTACATGGCGCTTACCCACTGCCGAGCTCCACTACGAAGCCAAGCGCATAAGCCCATAATTCTTATGGTCGTATTTAATTTTATCGCACCGTGGTATAACAATTTCGTCTGTAAGTACACAAAACATTTTGGTAAGGCCTGTACAAACAATCTGCAATAATCTTGATTGAATTCTTTTATATTTGGGACGCTGCCCACAGATATGCATTGTCTGCGTTGGTCATCGTACGTGCGATGATAAAAACTGGTCCACTGTTAAAGCAAATATATACGTTTGGGCATCTCCAAACTTCGCTCTCATGCAAATACACTGTGGCTTAGATTTGCTTAAACGCGCTGCTATTCATCAGTTATGACTTTTCATGGCAGACTAGTACCCAGCAGGAACAATTTCTCCACGTGCACTTGCGGTTAGGAGCCAGGAGAATGAAATGTGCTCATTCGAATGTTGCCAGTAATAGTGGGCCGTATTCTGCGTGCACAGCGTCATGGTTTAGGCTGCAGTCAAGAAATATTTCTTAGAGAAGGATGTCTATTTAGGCGATATGGTAACCGTACAATTCAAGAAACAACGCAGAAGGAAAAAGAAGACACTAGTAAGAGGAAGCACACAATTTTTTATACTACCCGGTTCTTGGCCAACTCCCCTTCGTGGGTGTGTGGCACTGTTCGAGGTTCTACTCTACTCTACTGAACTATGTCTTGTGCGCTCTTTCGTACTTTCGTACTTATTTTACTTCTGTGCCGTTTCTTGGGAATATGTGAGACATTTTTCGTAACACTGCATCAGCTGCATTATTGATGCGCAGCCCGAGTGCATTTATATTCATTCCTTACATCGCTTTTCATCCCACGCAACTGTCATGGTTCCCTCACTGTTATAGAAGGAACGAGGTGCAGTGGCGATATGTCTCTAGTGCTAGGTTAAATGGAAGCTGCGTTACACGCCTGCCACGGCGCTCTGGTGGTGACGTGAGTGTTGGCTCAAGAGCCGCGGCTTCAATTCCGACAGTGTCGGCAAGTTTTCAATTCCAACAAAATCTAAGAGGTCTGTGTACCGTACGATTTAAATGTACGTTAAAGTATCCCAGATGATCAGAAATATTCCGGAGCTGGAGTTATTTTGGGACGTTAAACTTCATAAAGAAGCCCACTGAATCAGGGTTAACGGTCTCCTCAAGCACTTACCTCAAGCTGTCTAGCTTTTCGCTACTCGTCGTGATCGCAATGCCTACTGGCCTAGAAATCAATTCAGATATTGTACGAAGCTTAAGTCAGTCAAATCGCCTTGCTCACGAGGGACATAGAGAAGAACTAGCGTCCGCTGGCAACCGGAAGATCACCACCACCATCATAACCATCAACTGCACAAGAAGTTTGCAAGACTACTTCTTATACAAATGTGACGAATGATGCTACCGGAAGAAGCCGACAAGGAAGAAGTAAGCGTGCTTTGGGGAAAAAAGGATGACGTATGAGCCAAGCCACGCCTCCCATATCTAGCGGCCCATATATAGCAGAAAACTTCCACAGGTCCGGGCCCACAGCAAATTCGAATCTGGTTGGCCTGTCCTACAAGACTTCCGTGGCCGTCCAGGTATTCTGGAAAGAGTGCGCAGCCCCGAAAGTGGTTGGGCATTCTAGGTTGAACTTACACCTTCGAGGACTGAACTAAAGGTGTTCCAAAAATCACGTGTGTAGTATATTCCGAGTCACTAATAACACTAGGAGTGTTTTCGTGATCACTAATCCCCCGATATTTATCTAGCCCGCCCACTGCGTAGATAGGAATAGACATCGTGATTTAGCGAGGAAATGAAATAAGATCTTTGTTGATACGAAATTGTAAGTTCTATTACACATGTAATTTAACATTGTGCTCACAGTGGTCTTGATAGTATACCAATCAAGATAGTTCAGCGTATAATACAAGCTTTAACGTACATGCAACAGAATGGGTGTTTTAGGCGACAACAAATTATCAACACAGATGATTACGATCGGCGCATGAGGAAGTGGGTGCGCCGTGTATTTGCGTAAATAAAATTATTTTCCCACGAAAATCACGGTTAATATCTCCAAGCTCTTCCGCAGCACGCTACCAAAAACGTGATGGATGCATACATCCCATCGGCCCTATGATGAATAGCGTCCAGATTGGGCTGTCCGAGCTCTTCAGCAGGGGGCAACAATAGGTGCCGTGGATGCATACATCATAGCGGCGCTATCGTGAATAGAGTGCAGATCGCGGTGTGGAGTGCGAAACATCTCGGCCAGCGTGGACACTAGCTGCTGAGCGTACGAGCATGGTGACAGGACGCGCTCCTTGCCGTACGTGCAGTGTACGCCCTGGAGGCATCCCGAAGTGGACTGGCGTCGACGACTGATCGTATCAGCTGGGTCGGCGCTGTTAGCCACGACTACGGCGACCGAAAAGTTCGTGGCCGCGTGTTCGGTGGTCGAGATGACCGCGTATACCGCGGCGATGCCACCGTGCAGCCTCAGGAGGAGTGACCACAGGGAACCAGGCTGCGAGGTTATCTCGAAGGGGCGCCGGTTCCAGACAAGCGCGTTGTTGAGCCCCAGGTCTGTGTGGCGCAGGTACACGTTGAAGGATTCGAACGGCCTCGCGGTCAAGCCTTGGCCTGCGTCGTGGGGAGTTGGTGCGAATGCAGCACAAAGCTAAAAGGAAAGCCCCACTTATTTTTGGAAATTAAAGCATGCTGGTTGACGCAATATTCATTTCGGTCCAGTGGTCGAGCTGGTACCACTTCTATCCGGGGTGGTCGGCCCACGAAGAGAGCTGTACAGGATACTAATTATTTATACGGACTTCCGGAAAGTAATGCTTCTATGTAGACCAAATTACTCGTCCCAGTACGGCAATAAAACCCGGAATGCTTTACTCTGAGAAATTCGTACAGAAAGCTTTGTGCTAACGGGCTACAAATGTCCTATTTTTCTACTTCGTCCTGTACGTTCATCTGCTGAGCTATAGGCCTTTACGCGCCACCAAAAGACAAATGTATCAGCAAAAAAAAAACGTCTTGTGTCAAGCCATAATTTGGCGCACACATGCTCATGCCCGTATGTCTTTATTTTCTGGCACTTGACCACCATCTATAAAGTCGTACGCTTCCGACTGCGGATCTCTGTAGGGTCATGCATGCACAAATGCGCCTAAGCGGCGCCGAACACTCTCTTGATGGATGTATGGGTGAAAAAGAGTGGGCGGGTGGGGGGGCATAGAGGAGGAGCACTTATGCATTGCTTTTAGGGGGCGGAGTCATGGGGATCAGGAGAACCATTTTGGGTGTAGCTGCCTCTTCCCTCGCATTGGAGGGAAACGGCACGAAAGATGAAAACCAGGCAGACAAGGGCATATTTGTATGCGTCCTTCTCTGCGTGCTCTTTCGTATTACGTGCCATTTTCCTTCAATATGTCGTAACAGCATGCTCGAGCAACGACTTTACCTTCCCCATCATCCACTGTTGGTGGCGCCTCTGTAACTTTAGCGGCGTTTGGAGATTCCACCTGAAAGTAGCCTGCCCATTCTGGTAAGCATACCTCGAAGGTAGATGAGTGCCGAGCACAGCAGGTGCAGGGACTTCCACAGGTGGAGCTCGTGGATGCAGAGGTCGCTAACAGCGAGGATGCCAGCAAAGTGCTCGAGGCCGTCATTGGGTGTTAGGATGACCATGTGCGCCTGGATGCCTGGCGCGTTCGCCGCCACTGCCAGTATCAACAGAACGTGTGGGTGGTCGACGAGAGCCCAGTGCCACAAGTTGTCGTCCCCTGGTAGTCGTTCCGCATTGTAGTAGGGCATCCTGTCATTCAGTGAGCCCCAATAAACACCTAAACTCTTATGCAGGCCTAATTGAACTCCGCTCTTCATTGGCATAATTTTACATGCCTAAAGCTATTTCTCGACCATGCCTTAATTATTTTCTGGTAAATGTGCATGTGTGCTCGTAAAACAAAGTTTGTACTGCTGTAGAAGGTGTAAATGTTCGCTGATGAATATCACCAAACTTTCAACAAATATTCCACTCAACTTTCAAGGGGATATAGTACGATATTTTCCTTCACAAAAACTGATCCACCAATAAGAAATTACGAATAAACATCTGAGAAAAAGTGCTGCTGCAGGCTACGTCTCGACAATCTGTCTCTAGGTCTTCAAGACTTGCTTCCTTGAAGTCAAGAAAATCGAGACCACTTGTCGAAAGTTTACCTTGGATTGCAGCTGCTTTCAACAAGCATTAACTGGGATCAACAGGTCCTAGGTAACTTTCAAGTGAAAGCAGCTCGTTCCAGTTAAACTCAACTGACCAGCAACACTAGCCATAAGCGTTTGAGCTGGAAGCAACTGGTCTCCGTTAAAAACCAGTGCGGTTCAATTGGCAGCAAGTGGGGCCACTTGTGTTCTAACTGGTAGTGTGACCAAGTGTCCTGGTTGTACGACTCTCTACAGTGAAAGATAGAGAAAATGCTGCCCACATCTTCCCACGGGGGAACTCGAGTAATTGATTCGCAGAGTGGTGGGGGTATCACGTTAATGTAGCGTAACCAGGTATACTTTGAAAACGCTTAGTTGTTTTTCGTCTTTGCTTTTCCTATGTATTGCATGAAGGAGAATTTAGCGTTGCCTTCGACGAGTGGTGGGACGCTGATGTGCGGTCCAGTGCTTACATATACGGGTTGGCCAGTGAACGGTTGTGGAGCTTGAGCAGTCGGTTTTTAATAGCAGACGCTGCCTGCGTCCACCTTCCGAGGCGAGAGAGGAGGGGAGAGCAAACAGTTTGCACGAGACGCGAGGAGCGAGCATGCGCAGTGGGGTTGTGAATATCGCCGCCGACGCACGACACCTGACCTCATGTGACTAAAGAACGCTCCGCATCTAAAATGAACTCCCGTGTATTCGACGTAGCGTTGGTGCACTTGACAGACAGACAGACAGACAGACAGACAGACAGACAGACAGACAGACAGACAGACAGACAGACAGACAGACAGACAGACAGACAGACAAAGAACTTTATTGGGTCTGAGAAACACTGCTTCTTTAGAGCAACGTCGCGGGCCGCTCCCACGTAGGAACGGGGAGGCTTAGCCTCACCACCACGTCGTGGGCTCTTCGGACAGCCCATAGTTGTGGTTGCAACTCTGAACTTCGTAAAGCAGAGTCCCAATCTTCTTCTGTGAGCCGACTTGGGCCCCGTAACGAGGGGCACTGCCAGAGCATATGTGCTAAGTCACTAACCTCACCACAATCAGGACAGGTAGAGTCAAAAGCCTCTGAGGAGATTATGCTGAGGAAAAATAGGCTTGGATAGGACCTGGTCTGGAGCATTCTAAACGTGATGGCTTGAGGTCTAGACAACTTGTTCTGTGGAGGAGCAAATGACCGCCTACTCAACTGGTAGTGTTTAGCCACTTAACTGAATAGTAAGTAAAGCGTCCCTGAACATCTCACTGCCAACCTGCGGACCTACGTCCTCCCCAGTATGGAGGGTTAGTGCGCGCGCCCGGAAGTGAGCAGTGTCATTCAGGTTTACTTGAGAGTCTAGTAGGGGTTAGAGATGTGCAGGAAACCAGGTAATGGTATGTGGAGAAAGTATCCTATTTTCAAGTTGTTTAAGTACTTCAGTACAGACAGAACCAGAGGCGAAATCCTTGACCCCTAACCTTGAGTCGGTGAAGATTTGTGATCTACTGTCATCCAAAAGGGCAAGGGCGACAGCCAATCGTTCGGCTCTTGAGGGAGTAGAGTCCCTAACTGACGCAGCATTGAAAATAGAGCGCATATGATTGATGGAAATGACAGAAAACCTAGCTGAGCGACCGTACTGAGTGGCATCAAC